TTAATGAAGATTCTCTATTGCTTCTTTCTTAAAACTTTAGAATGAAGTGCCCCTTCGTTTTTCTTAGATTTTTTGATGGGAGGTTTATAACCAGCATTTGTCTGTGAGAAGTTCTACATAGAATATTGCTTTTCTATTTTAGAAATATTTTGTAGGGATGACCATAACAGTTTTAATGTCACATACTCCCAGAAAAAGCTTCAGGGATACAATACAGAGGCTGACAGCCTTTGGGATGAAAACTCTAGTAGCTGTGACATAAAGGACCTTCTTTATATATCTTATTGCACAGTGATAACCAGCTCAGGTTTGCAATGAGCAACACTAAATCAGTCACCACCACCTGCACTCGAGCATTGTCAGCAGCTTGTTTTTCTCATCCATTTACTGCTGGTTTCCTCAGGCCCTGAATGGGCTCTAACAACTCAATAGCTAAGACATCTGGTTAAAATTGTGTAGCCTATGGCACCTACCAAATCAAAGTAATGTAATAGTTCTTTCTGCTCTTAAAGTTTTTCAAAATGGAAAAAAAGAGTAACAGCATCATGAGCAGAAAAAACTATCAAATATCTGGCAAGAGTCTTTTAATAAATGGGACCATAAAAGAAACAGAAGAAATAGTGTGGTTTTGAGTGAATAACTCTTCACATCTTTGAAACGTGATTACATTCCCAGTTAATAAAGCTAGAACAGACACCTACTCATGTTTTCCCTCTTTCCTGCCTCCATATCATATCTTCTAATGTACATAAGCCCCTGTCATAAGTCCTCTCCCAAAAGAGGTTTTTATTTTGCCAAATCAAAGTGAAAATTCAGATAATATGATGCCATACAGCTGCCTTAAAGAGACTAACATCTGCTTTGATGAGCTGACCAACAGCAGCCTTGTTATGTGCTTGGTTAAGTCTATAGATAAGGCAAATAATTGGCAGGATACTCGGGTCCTTCTGGTCTTTGCCATCTGTGATTCCTAAAATGATCATACTGCTAATGATGTCCTTCCCTTTGCTGAAATACAGAGGCTTGTTTTTGTTATAGTCTAAGGTCATTAAGATGAATGTTGTGATATCTGTTTACAATGTGGCAATTTAAAGTTCTTTTGGCAAGGTGAGGAAAACTTTAAATGGGGATGTACATTTTACTACCGTAACACTAAAGGAGCTATAAATTAAATAGAAAATTGGGAATAGCTTCTCTGGCATGGTTTGTTCATGAGAAGGTTTTGGTTTTTTGTTTCATGTCGTTGCAGAGTAATGTTATGCAGCTTTTGGTCTATGAGAGGTGAGACAGGGAAACTTATCATGTTCTGTAATTGGAGCAATTCTTTAATCTCTGTCTTCCCCTAGTAACTATTTTCTGGCAAATCAGTTCAAGTGGTTGTAGGGACACAGTTTGTGGTGATTGGGAGTGGGGCTGTGCCTCATCCCCAGTGGCACAGCTGTGAGCAGCAGGTGAGCAGCACTGACAGCAATGAGCCATGGAGTGCCCAGGGCACTGAGCAACCACCGAAGGGAGCAGAGGGCACACAGGGGCAGGGCATCAACAGGAGGGGATAAAAGGCTGGGCTGAAGAACAAGAAGGGCAGATGTCTGAAGCCTTCTGGAGTGGTGAAGTGGTACTATGTGTGGGTTGATGCTTGAAGCCTTCTGATGTGGTAAGGCGTTACTCATGTGGGTTGAAGCTTTCTGAAATTTTGTGGTGATACTCTGTGTATTGTGGCTGCTTCTACTGTGACTTCCTGTGACAATTGTTTGGTGTTTTTTCTTTGATATTGGGAAAGCTACAGGTCTAAAAGGCTTCTGATTGTATTGCTTTTGCTTGTCCTCTATGATCTCTACCCAGTCATCACCATCTGTTGACATGACTGACATTTACTGTCTCAGGAGAACAACAAAACCAGACCATTCATGTAGGAGCCAGGGTGCAAGCCTGAAATGGAGAGGGACATTTCACAAGGGCATGTAGTGATAGGACAAAGGGGTATGGCTCCCAGGTGAAAGGGGCAGGTGTTCATTGGATACTAGGAGGAAATTCTGAGGCTTCTGAGACACTGGAATAGATTGCCCAGATAAGCTGTGGGTGCTGCAGCCCTGGAAGTGTTCAAGGCAGGTCTGGATGAAGTTTTGAGTACCCTGGCCTAGTGAAAGGTCTCTGCTCATGGCAGGGGATAGGAACTGGATGATCTTTCGGGTTGTTTCCACCCCAAACTGTTCTATGTGTTTCTGAAAGATTTTTTTTTTTTTCCTCTGAGTATTCTCTTTTGATTTCTTGTGTGCCCAGTCCTTTGCTCAACTTCTCTACAACACACAGGTATGATAGTCTGGTAATGACCTGAATTTGTCCTCTTGGATTGTGGGGGATCTGGGTTACTGAGCAAGGCAGGATTTGGTTCTTTTTGCTCTCAGTCTTTTGCTTTATAGACCACAACAATTAAAAACTAAGAGGAATAGGTATTAATGAGAAAGTTCAAATATTTTTCCTCTACTTTTCCTCTCAATGTCCTCTTTCCACCCTGAGGTTACCACTCTTGATGGGGGAAAAAACTGACCATAGGAGACAGATGTCATATTTTCTTCTCTTTCCTTCAAATACTATGCAGCAAATTTAAGTTGAAAATAGGTTTGCTCTACATTCCTTTTATTTAGGCATTTCAGCACAGATTATGTCAAAAATATATCATAGAAGAACTAGAAAGCTTCCTATGTACTGAGTATTTTGCTCTTGTGTTATAAAATGCTTCATTTTCTTTAAGAAAAAAATTTTCCATGCAGAAAGGATTTTGAAAAATGTCCTTTCCTGACTAATATAGTCTATACATGTAATTTTATTGCATTTAAAATGGTATAACTTGATTTTAGAAAAAAATCTACCCTGCCTTCATCAAGCATATTTTATTTCAGAATACGTAAAAAAACCTCATTCCTGCATAACAACTTATTTTTAGCTTCCTCTGGTTTAAAGTCTGCTATGGTACCAGAAAAAAAATGAAGTGCCCCTAATTTTACTTGCTTTCTGCATCACCTTTGAAAAATTCATAGTATGTATTTCAATAGCCGAAATGTTTTCTCTTTGTGTAGAGTGTGCTCTGCTTTGCAGATGACAGCTAAGCTTGTCTAATCAAACTAAAATTGGTACACTTACTGAACAAGGCTGAGCACTTGTTTATGATCTGAACCAAAGACCAACTTTGGATGTATGTTGTGGAATGCCAGACAGATAAAGACACTTCCTGACACTGAGATGAACTGCAGTTTTGTCTAAGGAAGCACTGCATGAACTGCCTTGTTGCTTTAAAAAACACCCACACAAACATCAAAAAACAAGCAATTGAAGCCTAAATGTTTTATTACAATGTTTGAGACTTATGCTAGGTGAGTTTGTGTCTGTATCTTTGAGAAACTCTAAAAAAATAACATTCTGGATAGCAGCTGGCTTTTACTTTTCTTCAACGATTTCATACAATTCCTAGATTATCTCTCTTCCCATCCTCCCTGTCACTGTTTTTGACAGGGACAAGTGGCTGAGGAGATGCATGCAATGCAGTTGTCAGCTCCAACCAGATGCTGCAGAAAGGTGTAAGGGAATAGCTGTCAGTAACAACAACAGTCAAAGTTTATTTCTGATGTGACTCATGCATTATCTGTGAATGAAATGTGTTTTGCTCAGGTTCTCCTTCAACTGTCTTAATGTTGCTGTCGATAGGTTTAGTAGGGGTATTTTTTTCTTGTTTGGGTTTTTTCCCCCCTCCTAAAGTACTTAAGGTTTAGTATATGGAAACAGCAGCTGAAAACAATTCCTGGATTTGATGTTATTTAGAATTTTAAGTTCATACTATTTCCCCAAGTGTTTTCCAATTCCTTCTTTCTCAGAATTCATTTTCTGTTTAGGTTTTGGAATTTAGCTTGTTATCTCCCTAGTAAAGTTTACAAATAACTCTGAAGCAATGTGAAAAGTTTCTGTTTGTTTCCTTTACTTGAGAACGCATACTGATGGAAAATTCCAGTAGTTTTCTGATGTCTAGAGCAGACAAACTACTAATTTACTTGGGTTTTTTGTACCTATTTTGGAGTTTGATTTGGTTTTTATTTTAATCATGAATGGAAAAGGCAGCCACATTAATTAATTTTTTACATATTTCATATTTATGCATGTAGTTATCTAGAGCTTACTGATTTAAAAAACTGTGTGCTCCTGAGTTCTACTCTTCATGGGTTTTTTTTCTGTCGTGAAACTTTCCACTCTGGACCATAAATTGCAACCTTGAACTGTTTTCCATCTTGTCTTTAAAACAGGAATACACCTGCTACAGACAAACACCTTTGCTTTGATTTCAGTGACATGTTTTGTTTTGCTTTCTAAATGGCCATTCTCGGCGTTTGTCTAGTGATTAATGTAAAATGAAAAGCATCTTTCATGTGCTGTTAAGAAAAAATAATCAGGAAGGAATAATAGATGAGTTTACTGCCTTTCCACAGACACTATTATTGGTGGGAGCCCACCAGGAATAAAATAAATATGGTGGATATTAATTCCTTGCCTTTGAACAGGAAATGCTTTGTCCCTAACTTGCACATACTATGACTATTATAAAAATATATTGTGTTACACCGTTCTGGTGTTTCCGAAGCACATTTTAATGGGGAGTGCATGCCACAGGCGTTCTCCAAAGTGCGATGCTGCGCATCTGTACCCGACAAAATTCATTGCAGCTTTAACCGAGACCCGCGCGAGTGTGTCTACTATCTTTTCTTTAGGAGATGCTTCCTTGAGGAGTGTAGAGTTACCAAATCGCGTTCCTCACTTTCTCAACTGCCGCCCACTCTTCACGCCTTCTCTCCGCCGCTCGCTGCTGCTGGCTGCCCGGCCCTGGCGGTGCCGGCGGGAGGCAGGGGGAGCCCGGGAGCAGCGGCGGCGGCCCGGCCCGGCGGCGGCGAGCCCGGCAGCAGGCGGGGTCCGCGCCCGCCCGCCCGCGCTGACGTCAGGAAACTTTCGGGGCGGCCGTGGCCGGAGCGGGCGCCGGGAGCGGCGCGGAGAGGCGGCGGGACGGGCTGCTCCATCCCCGGCAGGTACGCGGCGCTCCGCGCCCGGCGGCACCGCGGGGCCCCGTGCCGGGGCAGCCCCTGCCCCGCGGTGCCGAGGGGCGGCCGGCGGCCACCGAGACACGGAGGGGGTACGGGGGTCCCAGCGCCTGTTGAGCGCCGCGGCTGAGCGCTGCCCCGGGCTCTGCCGTCGGCGCGGAACTTGGCAGGGGCGGGCGGAGCTCGGCGCGGGTGCCGCGGTTCGCTCGCGGGGCAGCTCCTCGGAGCAGCTCCTCGCCCCCGCGGGTCCCGCCTCACCTGCGGGGTCCGCGCTCCCCGCTCCGGGGCCGCCGGCAGCGGCTGCTCCCAGCCCGGCACCCGCACGGACCCCGGGGTCTCGGACACACGGGCAGGGCTTTGTGAATTTCAAGTAGCTGCGAATAATGAGATGCCTTTCATTCGGGGTTGGGTTTTTTGCCCGTTGTAAGTACAGTAAAGCCTTTATCCGAGAGGAGGTTTTGTTTTCCTCCTGAGGCTCCGCCGTGGCAGCCCGGCGGTGCTGGGCGGCAGCCGAGCTCGCCGCTGGGGCTGCTGAGCGCTCAGTTGTTGTACTAGGGAGGATCTTCGGCTCGTAACCAAACCCAAACCACCGAGATAATTTTAACTCCGCGTGTGTCGGGAGGGTGGAGTGCTGGAGGAGTTTGCTGGATCATCACGCGAATAGAGAGAAGTCTGAGCAAGGACGGCAGCTCTGCCTTGGAGTCGGGGAGGGAGATTCAGAGAGAAATTCTCCGTTTGAGAGGGTCTAAAAGTTGTATGGCAATTAGAGGAACGTGTAAAGTATGTTGTTCATTTAATTTCATTGTCTTTCTCATTTATTAGGGGGCACCGACAGTCAATCAAAGGCCTAAAAATAACCTAAAGGTTAATTGTATTCTTCATGCAAAGGAATTGGCTTCCTTCCGAAGAAATAGATTTCTGGGGTCTCTTTTTGAACTTGAGACACTTATTAGATTTCTAATTTAAATAGCATGCCACTTTTAAACTTTTCAGTTCCTACAGTTCCATTGCAGTTGCAAGTTCTTAAAATGTCATCTTTATGGAAAGAAAAAGTTATCACAACTAAAAAGATGTTAAAACCCCCCTAATAAACTGGAAAACAAGGCATATGTGAAGGTGATTATGAAGGTGCTTTGAATTGCAGAGAGTCATGGAAAATATTATAGCAATATATTTAGTTTATTCAGTATAAATATAAATAAGCATCTGTATTTGTGTGTTATGTGACTGCTTCTCCTTTTAGAGGTTATTTTCCATGGTTTTCTTCCCCTGTATGTTAGATGAACATGTAACATAAGTGGTACCTTTGAGTTGTTGTAGAGATAGGCAGTACTTCAGAGCCACTTAAGGTGTTAATGAAAATAAGACAAAACAATTTACCGGAAAGGAAAATAATATATTTTTCAAGGTCAAGCTTCTACAGTAAGTTTTGCCTCATGATTGTAGATTTACTTGGCTGATTTGTCATGCAGTAGTATGTCAGGTACAACTTCAAATATTTGGAGATGATCCACTTGAACTTTGAGAAAGAAACGACAGAACGGGGGGAAATAATTTCATGATTATTACCCATACATACACTTTTCTGGTATGCGTTTCAAGCATATGAACGCGTTAGTGATTATAGATCTTATTAAAGGCATACGTTTACATGAATGGCTTGGATAAAGAGAGTGATTTAGGGATTAAAAGCCTGGTGTTATGGCGCAGTGCTGAAGGATGCGAGGGAGAACTTGGGTTTATACTTTCAGCAGAGCTACAGTGGGAGGAATATCAACGGAAGGGGGCTGGAAATAAGCAGCAACAGTACAACTCTGGTTGCCTGAGAAGTTAGGATGACGTGATTGGGTGTGTCTTGTGAGTGATGAGTACAGAAATTAAAATGATTGCAACAGTGAACTGTGATACCATGTTTTGTGTAAAGCATTTTAAATCTCATAGGAAATCTCCTACTAATGGAGGACCAGCAAGAAGGAAGATGTAGTTAACAGGAGTGGAAAACAAGAGGGGATGTTAGACAAACTACTGCTTTGTACAGCCTCCTTAGTCTTTGGAGGTAACTTTGTAACCTTTTTGAGGGTTTTTCTAGAGTTCAAAGATTGTGCATCTACTGTTCTGCAAAACACTCACCTGATGTGCCATTTCAGAATTTCCTTTACAAGCTCATTTTAATTTGCTAGTCTATTGCATGTAGTTCAAGTTATTGTTTGTAATGTACAGTGTTTGTAAACATTGCTTGATGCTCTAAAAGTCATAATCAGGAGACTTGCATGAAACACTTGAGAGGTCTAATACAATAAACTGGAATTAGTTTTTCTCTTGAGATAATCCCTCAAGAGTGTACTGCTTGAACATGTCATAAGAACATAATTAGAAGTACCAGCTGAATTAATTAAAGGACAGCTTCAGCTTGAACTGGGGAACTTATAGCTTGAAAGAGAACAGAGAGGAAACTACCTTATTACTAAATTTTGATCATAGCTAGTATGGCTTGTGTCAGGATTCCAATTCTGTCATTTTTTTTTTTTTCCAAGAGAACAAATAGAACACTGAGAGCAGAAAAATCCACCAGGTTCTGTTCAAAAAAACTGCAGGTCCCTTAGACTTTTTAGTTATTATCAATGATGGAATGCATGGCAGAAGTTTAGTCTGTATTCCAAGTACATCAGCTCTTGAGACGGGGCAAAAAAATCATTAGTTTGTGACTTAATAGAGTTGTTGCACAAGAATATGCTAATTGGGCAGAAATAAACATTTTCCCCATTGCCTTTTTTGCCTTACTGTAATCTGATTTTTGAAGGGATAAGCTCCTTCAGAGACTCAGGTTGTAATCCAGAAAACAGCAAACAATACTGGCTCTGTTAGAACACACAGTGCCTCTGCATAGCTGCCTAACAATGTTCTCTTTGGTTCTCTTACCTTCAGAATGCAACTATGCATGCAGATATATCTGTCAATATCTTTGGAAGTAATTTCCTTCCTAGTATCTCCTGAATCCCTGATATCAGAATGTTGGCTTTGTTCATGCAGATAGCTTTGCTACCTCACTGCCAGTGCTCCCCTGAACATTCCCTGTGACTTAAATGCTTAATCAAGCTGTTCTGTGGCTTTGCTGTTGTGTCATGGCCAACTACTGCCACTGAATGTGTATCCTTGATCTGGGTTTACACTCACAGCCCGTGTTGGTTAGGGCTGGGAGGAAGAAGGAGGTAGGCTTACTCAATTATCTTAATTTTGTGGTCTATTCTTAGGGCACAGACCTGAGTGCAGCAGTGTCATCACTGCCCACCCTTTCAGTCTCTGATATGTAGCTGTGGACCTTGTTTGTGCCACTCTGTTTGCCCAGGGGCATTGCAAAGACTCTGGCAATAGTCAGTAGTATCTCTTAAGTATTAAGAAATATTTTTTCTTAAGCATTTTAATGCACTTAAAATGCATTTTTAACCTAGGCTGCAGTTCCAGTGCACATAATAAGCAGACAGTCCTCCCTTAAGGACCCCCTTGCCGCATGGTTTCAGAGAACGTTTGTTACACTAAACTGAACATCAAGAGTTCAAAGTGATGTTACCACAGATTTCATCCAGGATCCCAGCAGAGAATTTATCCAGCTGAAAACACATCATGAATTCCCAGGAAAGCATTTCCACTTTCAGTCCTCCTCTCCTCTGCCAGTTTAAGCAGATGTTCTTATCACCAGGCTGAGAGGGCGCTCCGAAATGAAATATGATTGTTTCATCAGGCTGAAGTGACTTACGTTTCTGATGTGTAATTACATATCAGCCAAGACAGAGAGAATGTAGAATTTTGTAGCTGAAGAAAACAAACATATTTGTAGAACAGACAACACCTAGGTTTCTGACAGCCATCTAAGTAGTTGTCACTGAAGCAAGAAGCAGAACTCAGGCTGTAACACCTACAGTTTCACACTGGCTGCTTGATAATTTGGCAAAAAGTACCAGAAAGCCTCTTAGATTAAGGCAGTGGATTTCTTTAACTTCTGCAATATTTTTTTTCTGTTTTGAAGGGCAGCCATTAAGAAATTCTGTCATTTTAATTCCAGAGTCTGACATGTTCATCTTATTAGTATGTAATCGCTTGGTTACTGCTGCATTTATTTTATGTTGCACCCTAAGCTTGCATATTCTGGTTTTATTCTGAGAACCGAGTTATGTTTTCTCCATTTACTATATCACTTGGAGTTATAAAGATTCAGCAACATCTGTGCAGCCAAATGTTTTTCTGTGTATTCTGTCAGCAATACCTGATCAACACCCTTGCCTTGCAATGGTGTGCACAAGTGTAAATTGGCAAACAATTCTCTTAATAATGTGCTGGTTGGAGACTGCAGCTGGCTCTGTTGACAGAGTTAAGGTGTTTTTTTTTTTAATCTGTGGAAATTCTGGTTATTCCTGTGATGTAGAGATGTCCTGAGTAACGCAAGTAAATAACATTTTTTCTTGAAAACTTTGGGAATTCTAAAGCAGATCTTTTGCCACACAAAAGTATGTGATGGCTGGTTTCTAGCTTTCTTTATTACTTTGTGGAGAAGGGTATGTGGATACTCCAGTACTTGGGAATAGATGTGAATATAGAAGCCTAATCTCTTCAATCTTCTCATAATTCCCAAAATAACATGAAAGCTGTAAAACTGCATGCAAATTCCTCCTCATTCTTTTCAGATAGAATAGAATAGTTTTTTGAGGACTGTTGAGTTCTCTGGAACATTTTAAGATCTTTAATGTAATTTCGTTTTTTTTCAGTTCTTCCTCTGCTCTCTCCATCCCCGTAGCTTTAATGGGGAAAATTCTGACCAAAGGCAAAATGCAGCAGTGCCACAGTGTGCAAATCAGGATCCTGACCTAGTACCTGTTGTGACATTTAATATTCTATTCTGTTTCCATTGTTCATCTTTTACATGCAGATGTCCTATCTTCAGCTCCTTCTAGGCAGAATGGGACATTAGGCACTTAAACATTGTGCTTAAACTT